GGCTTTTATTAACTCTCCAAATGGAATAAAATCAGAGAACCAGCAAATCTCACAAGGGTTTGGGCTGCAAGGAACCTTAAGGCTCCTCATGTTCCACCCGTGGTGGGCAGGGACACCTTGCACTGTCCCACATCAGCAGCCTGGGTGAGCAGCAGTGGGGTGGAAAGGATGCAAGAGCAGCTGGGTGGTTAATGATGAACCTGGTTCCAAGAAATGCTCAGCATGAAACACACACGGCTGGATTTCCAGAGGCAGCCAGGGAGGTTAATGACCAACCCTCGGTGGGATGCAGACAGGAGTGCTCAGATTGCAGCGGGGTTTGAGCCTCTCTCTGCACAGGCCAGCAACAGCCACAGAATCACCAAATCATTTGGGTTGGAAAAGCCCTCCCAGCCCTGGAGTCCCAGCTGTGCCCATCCCCACCCTGTCCCCAGCCTGAGTGCCACCTCCAGGTGCCACCTGCAGGGCTGGGCACTGCAACCCTCCCTGGGCAGTGCCTGAGCCCCCTTTCCATGGGGAAATTCCTGCTGTGCCCAGCCTGAGCTGCCCTGGCCCAGCCTGGGGCCGTTCCCTCTGCTCCTGTCCCTGTTCCCTGGAGCAGAGCCCGACACCCCCGGCTGTGCCCTCCTGGCAGGAGCTGTAGGCACATTTTCCCAAATCAGTCCTGAAATTCCCGCTGTCTCACATTGTACTGCTAGGAAGTGGGTGGATTACTTTGATTTTTATTAGTAAGAAACCAACCAAAGAAACGTTAGCAAATATTATCCATTTCTGAACTAATGCAAGTTTATCATGGGTTTGGGATTACAAACAACTTCTGTGACATGCCTGAAATACCCATCCCTCACAGCTGGGCTGAGCCCTCGTTCCAGGCCCAGCCCAGAGGCTGAAAACCAAACACAAAGTTGAAGCTGTCTGAGCAGCAAGCGTGACTCCATACCCAAATCAATGCCTTTGTTATTCTGTGGAGGAGATGGACACTGTTTGTGGCTTAAAGGGAATTAGTCAATACATGATTGGTCTGTGACATGCAAGTAAATAAGATTAGGGCGAGTCCCAGCTGTGCAGAGGATCGCAGTGCAACAAATCAATAACCTTTCAAAGACTTCATCCAACAACAGGAAAATTCACAATTTCTCCTGATGACAGCAGAGTGTGTCTCTGCCAATAACCCAAAAGTTTCTGCCATCAAATTATACATGAAAATAAAAGCATTTGCCCAATGACCGATGAAAGAGCAGCTGTGGCTGCCCCTGGATCCCTGGCAGTGCCAACCAAGGCCAGGCTGGACACTGGGGCTGGGAGCATCTGGGACAGTGGGAAGTGTCCCTGTCAACCCAAACTGTTCTGGGGTTCTGTGATTCCGTGATCCCCACATCCCTCCTGAGACAGGCAGCCCTTGCTGTGTGACTGCAGTGCTGAGCTCCCTGTTCCTCACAGCCAAGGCAGTGCTGCCTGCAGGAGAGGGGCAGATCCTGGAGCCAGAACTTGCTGCGCCTCCCGTTCCTCACAGCCGAGGCAGGGCTGGCTGCAGGAGAGGAGCCGNGGACAGGATTGCCATGGGAAGCAGGGATGGGGAGCCCGCTCTCCTCTGAGCACAGCATTGCCATGGAAGCAGTTCAGAGACACGCCGTGCGCAGAGTTCAGCTAACAGGAAATGCCCGAATCAGCTCCTGGGCGAGCACAGACACAGATGATTGTCACAGCAATTCACCAGGGCGTGTATTACCCCAAACAGCAACACCTCCAGCTGCAGAGAGGGCTCAGCAGCAATCTCTGAGCCTGGCATTTCAACTGCATCACACGGACAGAGGCTCCACAAGATGCTGAGGAGCAGACGGAGCAGGAAGGTGCAGCTGGGCCCCAGTGCCAGGCAGAGCCATCCCCTCCTGGCACCCGAGAGCACAGCTCTGCACATTGGAGCCATGGTTATCACAGCTGTGCACATCACAGCCAGGGTTATCACACACAGCCCTGCACATCACAGCCATGGTACCACCACCCCAGAGGGAGAATTGGAAGCAGCCTCAGACACAATGCCAAACAGCACACCTGAAAATGGAGCCCGCAAAGCCTTCAGGCAGCAGATGGGTCATGTGCAGCAAATCTATCTATTTTTCTGTCTGTCTATCACACTTTATGTCCGTATTTATAGATACATTACACAGGTAAGCACTGATTAATAACCACAGGCAGGCACTAATTAAGGAGCATAGTTAGGCACTCATTAGCGAGCACAGGTAGATGCTAATTAAGGAGCACAGGTAGGCAGAAACCTCAGTAGCTGCACACCGAGGGAGTCCCTGCCTGCAGTGCACTCCAGATAAAACCTGTAGGCTGCTCGTGCTGTCACATTTAAAGAGATTTTTACGATTCACACTGCAAAAGGAAAAAAAAAAATCCATCCCTGCTGCAGATGGTTCTGTTTTCCCTCTCTGTCCTCTAAACAGCGGGACCAGATGAGGAGTGATGCATCGATTGGTCCAGGGAAGCACCGAGAGGACGGCGAAGGAAAATAAACCAAAAAATGCTAAAAATGCCCCAAGCGTAGAGTGAAATGTGCTCACCAGGTAGCCGAGCGCGGATGCGAGCGGTCGGAGGAGCTAAGGACAGGATTCCCCGGCAGGCTGCGGGATGCGCTCAGCGCCGGCAGGCTCAGCCATTGCGGAGTCACTGCAGCTCCGGCAGCACGTCAGCAGCGCTGCTGCTCCAGAGCCCTCCCATCCCGAGATCAGCATCGCGGCTGCTCCAGAGCCCTCCCATCCATCCCTGCCTGC